ACCACTGTATATATGTATATATATATTCCTCTGAAATGTGAAGTTGAAGTAAAATGGAATAAGTACATTAACTCAAGTCAACTATAAAATTCCCTCAAATTACATAGTAAACAAAATTTTATATGTGAGTATTTATACTTGGGAAAAAAGTGAACCCTCCCAATTACAAACACTGAAAACTACACTTCCCATAATGCAATCTTTCATTTGACACTCCCTGCCCACCTCTTTTAAACTCCACACCTTCAGTTTGTAACGCCTTTAGCAGTATGTAGTCTCCGAGCCCGAGCTGGACTAACCCACATTATATCATCTGGGTAATTTCCTAGGGCTCAGTAAACCTCTTAAACACGAGTGTAGTGCTTTCTATAACGAATAAACTGAATTCAATGTGTCTATGTATGTATGTATGTATGTTTGTATGTATGTATGTATGTATGTATCAAACAACCAGTTATGTTAAATATGGAAAAAAAAATTTATTGAATAAAGAAAAAAAAGGAAAACAACAGGACTCAAAAATAAACACCACTGACTCCGTATTAATTAATTATTTTTGGTGAAAATCCTGCTTGTCTAAAAAAAAAACACCACAGACAAACGGAAGTACACAGGAGTGCTTTTCCACCGGTGAAGAGTCACCTGAACATACCTTTCTTTCTTTGTCTTTCATCCTTTATATATATTTATATATATGTGTGTGTTTTTGTAAAATAAACCGCCCTGTTAGTGAATTCAGACAGAAAAGATGTTGAGATAAATGAGACTTTTTGTACACCGTCTTCAGCTGGAGCCTGACAACCGTCAACTCCCACAAATAAACACAATCCAAAGTCATTAAAAAGCCCAAATCGGGGCTAAAACTGTGTATTTTATACCATGATGTGGATATAAAGAACGCCAAAACCAGCCTGATGTACAAAAAGTGCTGACACCCATATAAAATAGCCACTTCTGTCATGTTACCAACTTTAATTTGGGTTCTTTTAAAACGTCTTTAGTGTTAATTTAAATTGTGAAAACGTCATGCCTTCAGGAGTTAGTATCTACACAGACAGTGAAATAAATTGTCACTTTTAGATAATTTTGTGTGTTTTGGCAATGTCTTAAATGAGACAAGAATTCGCTAGACCTATGAATGATCCTTACAGGGTTTCTTTTTGTTGTTGATAAAATACATAATTCACGCATAAAAATGAAAAAACACCTCAAAACAGAAAGCCATACACCTTTTATAACACAGACCGTTTTTTCTGAAACAGCCGGCGTTTCTGCCAGTTATACCTTCAAAAAGAATCTAAACACAGAGATTCGAGTATGTTTCTATCTGTATTAACAACCTCGCAACAACAGCGCGCCTTGTCTGACAGTTACGGCGTGTTCAGTCTCTCCGGAGGTTATTCAGCCGCTCCTCCAGGTCGGCGTCTGCGTCAGCCAGGGCGGCTTGGGGCTCGACCTTCTTTCCTCCGCTCACCGCCAAGCTTCCTCCGGCGGTTGGCAGATCTGAAGTGGACACACACACACGATGAGCATCCTGCGGTATAATAAATGTAAAACCGGACAAAAGACGAGGAAGTGTTGGGATTTTCTTACTTGACAGTTCGTCGGACAGACTGAGACCCAGCTCGTCCAGCACTTGGGACACGATGGCGTCGCTGCACATGAAGCAGAGGCACAGTTACAAATGTGTTCAAGTTAATTCATATATTGGGTGAATTATGTAAGATTGTGGAGGGTGAATCAAGAAAGAACTGGACCCTGGATCCTACACTTCCCATAAGGCAACTCAATAGTTCTTTGCGATACAAATATGTGAAGATTGAAATCAGTGAGGTGAAAACTTCCCCTCCCTGTGACGTCAGCTGGGTCAGAGTTTAGAAAGCTGCTCCAGAGCCACAGACCGAATTACACAACCTGCTCACAGGCTGAGTCACACTCCTCGTGACAGCTGAACTGATCTTTATGTGATAAATTGGAGGAGTGTCCCTTTAAATACAACTACAGTACGTATCCAGAGGAATGGGAGGACGTAAACATAAATACACGGAGAGCAGCGTGTTCGTTTTCTTAACAGAGTTCTTTTAAATGAGTGAACATTTGAATTCGATAACTTACTTATTTAATGATCTATTTTATGTATTATATGTGTGTGTTTTGTTTACAAAATAAAATCACAATGGAACATTTTTACACTTCGGTTTTTGGAACGATTAAACAAAACTTCATAAAGCTTCATATTTAACATTCAGACATAAAAGTGGCATCTTCTCATTTATTTCTCAGTAAGAAGTTTATTGAACTATTCCTTTAATGAAATTTATAAAATAATAAACCATTTCACTGGTTAAAAATGGAATAAAATCTGATAATTATAAAGAATGTAAAGGAAAATAAGGGGTAAAAGATGTCTAATTTCTTTCATTACTTTATGTATTATAGGTATTAGATGTGTTTGAGGGATGGAGGAGGTTTTGGGGGAATAACAGACAGATAATGTGATTTTCTTTCATTTCTTTGGTCAGTAATTATTATAACGAAACTATTAAATGAAGAGTAGAAGAAAAGATGTGTCAGCACTGTCCCTTTACCTCTCATCCTCATCATCCTCATCCCCCATGGCATCGTCGATAGCGTCGTTCATCATCTCCTCTTTCATGTCCATGATTTCACTCTGTCGCTCAAACTCCATCATGATCTTCTGAATCTGCGGCAGTTTCAGCTGTGGAAATGAAATAAGATCGTCACAACAAGAAGCTCATTATAGTTCAATGAAGATT